ATAACCCAAGTCTTCAACTTCTTTTCATTATTCACTAGCAATCTCATCACTTGTACTCTTATTTCTTCTAACATCTTGATTATTGGCTTGGCTCTAGCCTCAAGAATCCATGCATTGAATGATTCAGTGAAGTTGTTATCAACCATCATGTTCTTACACTGAGTATCAAAATAAGCTCTACACCATGCCTTTGGTGGATACTTTACCAAATTTCTTGCACCATCTTTTGATAGTTTCCCCAACTTATTTAATTGGTCCTTGAACTCTTCAACATAGGAACTCCAAGCACACCACCACATCAGCTTCCTCATTTGACCACTCCTCCATTTTCTGCACCAGTTACTCTCAATGTGTCTCACACAATACCTATGTTGAGCTTCAGGCAACACTTTGACAACAGCATCTATCAGTCCCTGTAACAGTGAAAGTTGAGAATAAATAAGTGTTAAAAACAGAAGTACAGTGAGTACAAGTTGAGTAAAAACAGTTGGTACATTATGATAAAGAGTGTGTAAAAACAGTGAGTAAATTTGTGAATGAAAGTGAATTAAAAACAGCATCATACCTTTTGCATATCCGAAATGAATGTGACTTCTGCACCATCTTTAAGGTCCAAAGACCCCTTCAATAACTCAATAAACCAGCACCATGTATTGCTTGTTTCTTTGTCCACTATTGCCCATGCTAGTGGATAGAAACTGTTCATAGAATCTTGTCCTAGAGCAACCAACAGAACACCCTTACATATACCTTTCAAAAATGTACCATCAAGTCCAATAAATGGCCTCAAACCAGATTTCCACCCTTTCTTAAGAGCATCAAAACAGATGTACATCCTTAAAAATTTTCTTTTTCCTTCAGCCAGGGCATCCTTAGAGATATTTATCAAAACATCACTTCCGGGATTGGATTGCTTAAGCTCTTGTGCATAGGCCTCAAGCTTGTTGTAGTCATCAATAAAACTTCCATCCAACTTCTCAAGAGCCATCCTCTTAGCCCTTTTAAGTTTAGACTGACACACATTCAATTTTAAGTCATTTTCAAGCTGTCCTCTCATATCTTTTACCTTATACTTGGGATTATTTTGAAGCTTGTTCTTGAAGTATTGAGCTAAAGTAACTGCATCAGCTCTAGCATTAAAAAAGGTCTCCTCACATGTGTGCTTGTTGATGAAAGTCTTTATCTTAAACCCTTCAGTTTTGCCATCTTTTGAAATCAAACACCTAAAGGGACATCCTATATCACAACCATACCTAGTTCTCTTTGTATCACCTTTTATTATAGTCAAAGCCCTTTTGTTAGCTAATGCATAATAATTCATAACCTGTCTACCTTCTTTCATGTCTTTAAATGTCATACCAACTTGCAATTCTTTGAAGCTTTCCAACCTGTCACCTACTACTCTTCCCCTTTCATTGCTAATAGCATCCATCCACTCTAAATCACATTCCTCACCCTCAGAAAGATCCCATTCATCAACAGAACCAGGACTGTGTTCACAATCTGTACCAACCTCAACATCTACACAACATGATTCAACATATTGTGTGATATTTTGGGCAACGACAGTGAACTCACCCTCCTCCACAACAAAGAAGTTGACGACTTTAAATTTCTCACATAGAAGGCTAAGGATGGCCCTAATTCCATCATTCCCATCTACTATATAATACTTTTCAGAGGGCCCAGTGGTTAATAATTGTTTAACTCGAGAAAACCCTAGCTTGGAAGTAAACTCATCACATATATCTTTATGACTCAATAATTCAGGGTCAAAATTTAGCCAAGAGTGCACCAATTTCTTAGTGTAAGCCAACAGAGGTGAAATGACCCAACTACCCCCGTAGTTGAACACAATTTCAACTTCATCAAGCATTCTTCAAAATCACATGAAAAAAACAGTAAAATCAGAGAGACCACTCAAACCAAACACATTAAAAGCTGCAAAAATAAAATAAAGTAAGCCCTAAAAGACAAACAACATCTCGAGACCACCAAAAGAGAAACAAAACAAAGCTATCAAAGGCATAAAAGTACATCATTTTAAAACAAAACAATACATTTCAAGTGATTTTGATACACGTCGACTTTACTTAAATACCCTAACTCATAAGAAAATGTAACCCTAATCGAATATATAATTTACTGAAGGGAGAAACTTACCTTCAACCCGTAGATTTTCTAACCCTAGCGCCGCCGCAATTTCTGCAAGTCTTCAAGAACCCTAATGCGCCGCGATTTGTGTTCTTGGGGGAAAAGGAAGTTTAGGAAATTAGGGATTTGTTTTGGGGGGAAAAGGGATATGGGTTTTGGGTCGGATACGGGTAATAAAATTTGGGGAAAAGGAATATGGGTTTTGGGTCGGATCCGGGTAATAAAAGGGTAATAAAAGGGTATAATTGAACCTTAAAATATGGGTAAGTTTAATGGGTCGGATTTTTAGGGGCATATTTGACCCTTTCTCTTTTGTAATATAAATGCCACGCTGTAAAATAAAAATTACGTGAAAAATTCATTTGGGTAATTAATAAAAAGTAAAATGCGTTGGAAATTTTGAGGTGGCCAACTAACGCCCATAAGGGCATATTTGTACCAATAATTGGACGACGAGGGTATAAATGGACCAAACTTTAAACGAAGGGCATATTTAAACCTTTTCGAAAAGTACAGGGGCATATTTCACCCTTTTCCCTAAATATAATAACAACTCTTCATTTCCCACCATTTTTTTCTCCATTTTTCAAACAACAAAAACAATGGCACCCAAAAAACCCTCTTCTTCTCCAATACCCATCGGTAAGAAAGATCCAAATTAACAGTTCAATAATCTATTCATAAAAATCTCTAATTTTTTTTATTTTTCTGTTGTAATTTTAAGGAAATTGCGAGGTTGTTGTGGAAGCTGGGAAGTTTAATTCAGAGTTAAACGAAAATAGTCTCAATATTTCTTTGTCAAAGAATGTCAAAGTCAAAATTTCTGGTAATTTTTGCTGTTGTTGTTTACCTTTGGTAATAGATCTGTGGTTTGTACAACTTTTCTGAGTATGCTGAAAATTTGATGCTTTTTGAATCGTGTTAGTACTCTTTTCATTTCAATATAAGTGTTTTAGTTTGATTGGGAATGAAATTTAATAAAAAAAGATAAACCTTTGAATTGTGTGGTCTTCATATAAAGACGTGTGTAGTTTTTTTAATCTTGTGGTTACAGACTTGTCAGGTATTAGAGAACTTACTAATTATAGTAAAATACACTCATTTTGGGACAGACTGAAAAAGTGTATTTTTTAGTATTTGTTTTGGGATTGAAGGAGTATTATTGGTAATACTACAAAGTTGTTTACTTTTTGTTAATGTGTTTGTAGTTGTGGATGGTGGGAATCATTCAGAGGAATGCAGAAACCCTATTGAGTATGATGAAAATGGTACGGAATATTGATTTTTTGTTGGGATGAGTTTCTCCTTTTCTTGTTTTTATTGAATTTGTTGAGTCTATAACTTTTCTTGATTGGTGAAATGCTCGATTTTGTTTTTGGGTTGTGGCGACTAGGAAATTATTGTTTTGTGCTCATTAATCCCAAAGATGATGATGGAAAAACCAAGTCTTTACTTCAGGTAATTCCTTCATTTCATGTATGTGTATGCCTATGCAGTGTATATATTCAATTCACTCAACCTTGCCTTAGTACTAAGCTACTTCATGTCAATCATATACTAATAATACATTATGCTTGATTCCTTAATCATATTTAGTCTTTTGTAGCATGTGCGTATAGTTCCTTTAGCTTAGTTCTTGGACAACCTTTCTCACGACTCACGAGTCTTGCTCTTGCACTTGAAACTTGTTGAGGCAATGAAATGGTAATTTGATAAGAATTTGGTTGGGCATTTTGCTTATAGCATTTATGCAAATCTGGGGGTACCATTCTCCAAAGAAAATGATTGTTTGGTTAATACTGGTTCTTCTGTATTTTCGAAGATACCTTCCTGTTTGTCTCTGCCAGTACTCAACAAACTTCTGCCAGAAAATGGTGGCTGACATTCTAAGTATGAATTGGTCCATAATTTAATATGTTTGTGTAGAGTATCAACCTATAAATGCATTGATATCAACAAGGTAAAAACTTGAACATAGGGTGGTAGTGGAAATCCGCTATTTCTGTGCATTTGTGATCAATTGCCCTTTCTATGTTCATTGGTTGACAAAATCAGAAAGTTGCACATTATGTTAGTTGTGTTGCTTATGCCTTGTATTTCAAATGAAGGCTGTTTTCTCTTGCTCTGTTGCTTGTTTGTGCTTGTCTTTTACCCAGTTTGATAGTTGTAGACTAATTGGCAACTCTGCTTGCACTGAGTTGGTTCCTTGTATATATTCCTCACTTGTTTTTGTCTATGCTGTGGCAGGAAGTATTAAGCATTTATTCTAAAGAGCTTCCGGCCATGAACTATGCTGCAAACACAGGAAAAGAATCACAATTCCTTGAAAGATGTGTATCAAATGGGTACAAGCATTTAGTTGATTTTTTCTTGTGTACTGATATGTTTTGTGTATGCTCATTTAGTGCAATCCTGCATTCTTGCTATCGTTTTCTGCAAAAGAAACATTATAGTCTCTGGATTTCACAATATTTCAGATGGATGAAAATGTATATTCATTTTGAATGTTGATTGCTTTTGCAGGAAGTACTGCACGCTAGTTCTGAAAACCAAGGATGACATAGACCCTGGGGAGGTATACTCTCAAGCATTACTGTACTTGTGCTTATTATGTGCTAGGTGGATAAGTGGAGTGGAAAATATTCCATCCTCAAGGTCATTGAGCTTGATGGCATGCATATCGATGATTTGCATGTATTAACATTACTATTTAACTGAATAAGTCGGTGTTCTTGCGAAGATTTTCTGGTTTTATACTATAGTCTACAGTCTACACCTTATATCAATAGTCATGATTGACTGCACGCTGCTTTAACTAAATTCTGCTCTAATCCCTTTTTTTTTGCTTTTCATTATGTCAAAGGTTATTGCAGCAATCACTTATCAAATAATTCCAGCTGATATGCAATTTGCTGAGGTTCCTATTGCTGCTGTTAAATCAGTTTACCAACTCAAGGTCCTCTAGCTGTTCTCTAGCTTTAATATGAAACTTATGTTGATTTGTGATTGTTGTTTTGATTCATAGTCTGGCTTTAGAATACACTCATTATTTCTCTCATGCTTGCAAGAGAAATGATGCAAAATTGAAAATATTGCTGTCAGAATTATGTAACTTTGTGACAAACATTGATGTAGTGTTCTGTTTAAACTTAGAAAAAACTTCATCTTCTTTACTCTTTGTTTACTTTTCTTTGTTCTTTCTAGGAGAGATGCCTACTATAGACTCAAATTAACCAAATAAGAGTGCCCACTCTCTACCAGTTTAAGCTTCTAGCTTTGGTACCCTTCATAACTATTCTGATTTTCTAAACAAGGTGCATTATTTTTTAAGTTTGAAAAACTTAACATTCCAATGCACGTACATGCAATTAATTTTGACAAATTTCCATACTCGATAATGCTCAATGATATAGGAACTTTGGACAACATTAACACCCTGAGCTTGCAGGGGATTGGTTATTCAATCTATTTGGAGCTGAGGAAAAGATTGCGACATGTGGGTGTTCGAACAGTACTTTGTTGGGGAGATAAGGAGTCTGAAGGATTTTGGCTTAAGCAGGTAAACCTTCAATGATGTTTGTAAAAGAAGTATAGCCAATCATGGATGGTTTTAAAACATTACGCATTAGTAACATCTGTCTCTCCAAAAGGAAATATATAGCAAGTATTTTCTTAATATAAAAGACTACCAAAAAGCATGCTTTGTAACATAGTTTCATATCTTTTATGACACTTTAATAAGTCAAGAAATCCAAAATATCAAAATGCAACATGAGATTATACTATGATATATCCCTCAGCATTTCTCTGAATAATTAGATACAGATAATACAAACCAAACAGGTGAAAAGATGCTGGCTATTCTGCGATCTGATCAATGATCATTGATTTATATACACATGCTTTCACTGTTGCTCCTACACTCTATGATAATATGAAATATCTGTAGGGTTTTTCAGTTATTGGTCAAGTTGACACGAAAGGCAGAGCTCGCAAGCTCCCTATCAAGGCTGATATTCGGAAAGCATTGTGCTTTCCTGGTGGTTCAAATCTCATGATTTCTCATTTCAATAAGGATAACTTACACAGTTCTGCAGTGTATCTAAATCTGAAATTCCCCTTAAAGCCTTTAAGAGAGGATTGCCAATCTCCAATTCTCCAAGAACAAAGGGATACTCTGTCTGAGGGAAATAACCATTCTCCAGGAAGAAGTCAGGCCACTAAAACCATGGGTTCTAACTACTACGGTAAGTGAAGCTACTGCTTTTAATTTTCATCTTGTATCAACTGCATGGTATGTTTTGTGTATCCTTGCAACAATTACTTATTTGCGCACATAAAAAAAGTTGCTCGCTACATGGTGAATTCAGTAATCTTATGACCCTTAAATGTCTGGTTGCATCAACATTACTTTTAGTAATACGGCTTATCTTTCCATGTGTATCACGAATCTCATTTTCTGTATTTCTTTCAAGATTGCCAAGATTTTCAACCTGGAGATGGTGCTGTCGGAAGCAAACATGGACATATAGGATTTAATGAAATGGAAAGCCAAACTCTTCTGAAGAAATGTTCCTGTTCAGCGTCAGAATCAAACAAAAGGACTTGGGAAACCTCACACACTTGTGTTAAATCCAAAAAAATAAAGGGAGGTCATCAAACTGACTGTGACTTGCATTCTAAGGACATTAGCTTAGAAAGTGTTTCGGGGAACAGTTTTTCTGCTATCTCTAAGAGCAAATGTCAGGTAGGTATTACTCCCAAGGATCATTTGACAAGCCACTTTCTGGAAAAGAATGCTGTAGAAGCTACAGCAGATAATTTGACATATGAAGGGAATAGTAGTCGAGTCATTTCTTCAAGAGGGACAAACTTCAGAATTATGCTGATGAACATTGCTGATGATAGTAAAAAGGCAAATTTGACCAAGGTATACTCTAATTGCCTACTCTCTTCCCAGATACTGTTTTAATGATTATTCGATGTTTAACCCATTTCCTAATATAATTTTGTAAATGATGCTAATTGTTCCTTTTAAATGCTTATTTTATGCTGATTATGCAGATAATAGGAGACCTTGGTGGAGATGTTACTGCTGATGGAAGTTCAAGCACACACGTAGTCACTGGCAAAGTGAGGAAAACTTTGAATTTCTGCTCAGCTCTCTGCTCAGGGTCAGTTTCTTTTATCTTATCTATTCCTTAAATGTAGATTTGTTGTTTTCTATTTCTTATGTCTACTGTTTCTACTAGGCCACTTTGTTGTTCTTTATCAGTAGTAATATTGAGAGGGGAAGCAAAACCAAAACCGACCAATTGACGACATAATCCAGGAGAGTAAAAAACATAAAGTTGTGTTAATTAGGCTATAGTACTAGTTCAGAATAGTCAGGAATAAGTCCAGGATTTAAGTCA